GAATTCATTTACAATGGCTAAATAAATAGAAATCGTCTAACAAAAGAACAGCATTTTTTCGTTAAAGCATAACTACTTTCTGAAAGAAAATTTTATTCAAATTTTTATTTATTGATATTTTTAATGATCAACTTTAATAAAATGTCAAATACCAAAATTTATCTTTGCTGTAAATTAACAACTGGGTTCAATTGTCATATGTAGTATAAATAAGAAAAGTGCAATGCGCGCACCTTTACAGATTGACAGAGTTCTCAAACTCCGCAAAACAATAACTTATTTATAAAAGAAATACCGCAAAATGCACTGCATTAAATAACGTCATTACTTGCATTACGAACGACAACCAAAATGAACTAGAGTGCAAGCATATGCATGTATAAGCAAAACAAACTGGCTGAAAAGGAACGCAAAAAAACATTAATTACAACTAATCCCATGACAGTGCTAACGTCAACAAAGTATAACAATTTTGAGCAAATTGGATTAGTTTCTTCAGAAACTCTTATGTTCCTGGCATTTTTCAAAAATCTGCTTACGGCAAAATCGACAACTGTCAAAAGACAAAAACGTTGTCCTCAAAAATATTACCAATCGAAATGTCGATATTTATATATTATCATAAGATGTATTTATATTATCTCCAGCCATTTACTTTTATTAGCATGATATTTAGCCCAGATCGAAATAAAACTATATTTCGCATACTGTGAGGTAAGAATCGAAATGCTCACCAACTTGCATCACTGTTTGGTTCAATAAACTCTCTTACAACCCAGAGTTGTTACACAGTTTGTCTTTCTGACATTAAGTTAAATAACAATCTATACATGAATGATTAAGCCTTATTTTATACAATGACGATATGTTAACGGCTGTGAAAGATTAACTGAATATACATACGATGATATCTGCTCCAAACAAACGACTGGATTCGTCGCAGATGTAGGGTCCAATTCTGAAGCTAATGTGCTAATCTCCTTTATCACAGCCGCATCTTTATCCTTTAGGCTGCCTTTGGCTAAAAACTAGTCATAAATATCA